CAGCCAAACAGGGCCATTTTAAAAGAAAATTACTTCATAAATTTCAAAGACTCAACAAATCAGCAACAAAAAGATGAGGTAAACTCCCAACTAACTAGCATCGCCCCCTAATTCAGACACCCTTGAACTCGGCTGCCTCACAGACGGAAAGCAGCCACATCCCCGCTAGGAACATATTTACAGACAGATGAGAGGAGCGACCCAGGCAGCGGGGCCAGCAGGAAGTCGTGACGGCCTCCCCGCATACCTGTCGAGCAAGGTGTGGCTTTATAAAGCTGACTCAGGGCTGGGTCAGGTCTCCTACATGCAGGAGCACGCTTTCCAAATAATCGTTTCCTGCTCTCCCCAGGCAAGATGGAGGAGATGGGGGCAGGATGGAGGTTTATCGGGCACAGATAATCCCCCTCCCCAGAGCTGCTTGGCATAAAGGACAGCGAGGAGCAACTGCATGGGCCTGGTGACTAAGGCAAGGACAGCGGCGCTGGTTTTGTGACTAACTATTACTCATGCAGGGAGGAATTTGGAGAGGGACCCACATCCAGCTCGGCTCGTTGCTTTGGATACTTCTGCAGCCATAAGCACAAAGAAGAGCTTTGACAATGAATCAGACCCTGGTTTAAAATGACAAAGACAGACTTATCTACCAACTTTGTGTTAAAATGATTTCAGTGTAATCATAAAACCAGCTTAATGCTAATCAGAGGAAACAAGCAACGTTTTCAGACCCAGATGACTAAACGTAGGCTCCTGGATGGACAAAACCATTTAGAGGCAGCAGAAGTGTTTTTTTATTAATGCATAATGTATTTCACTTTCCCCTGAATTACAAAGGAATGCGAGCAAAGTTTGTTTGAAAAGCTTTTTCCATTAGATTTTTTTTTTTTTTTTTAAATCAGAGCAACCCCCCCTCAAAAAATCCTAAAACGAGTTCTGGGATACATTTACTTTGAAAGCATCTCTATAACTAGCTTCTAAAGGATTTAAAAGGAAGCAATCAACACCCATGTTAATTATTCTCCTGCTTTTAAAATCTACAATTATCCACCTAAAAATAAGGGTAGGAACAGTGAAAATAGAGAGTCATCAAATTCCAGTTCTCCCTTCATGGAGCCTTTGCTACTAGCCTCAGCTAGTTTGTGTGCTTACTTTGCAGCCTGCAATGCAGGGAAGACTAACAAAGAATTACTAATTAAGCAGTTGCTTGCAAAAATCTGGGAGTTTGAAAACTTGTTGTGGTGAATGATTGCTCCAAATGAAAGATCCAGCCTTGCAAATGTACACCCCTACATGTGTGATGTTATAAATACATTCATTCCACCAAAATCAGCATCACCCACAACCACTATTCACAAAAATGTGGTGAGATGTTAAAGGTTTTTATAAGCCATCCCAGGTCTAAACCAGTGGAAGACCCTTTCAGAGAGCTGGGAATCCCTTCTTAAATGTGATGATTTCTTCTTTCTATGCCTCCAAGATTACAACGTCATGTTTTGCAACCAGTGACTTGTGCACTATTTAACAAAAGACAAGCTTCTTACGCAATTTTCAAAGCAGAACATATACTTATTTGATTTTTATCTAACAAATCTACCATAGGAATCAGAACCAGTATTTAAAAAAAAAAAATACACCTCCTTTCTTGTGATTACTGAAGAGTATTTGCTCCCTTTTAAAGCTGCAAGGTCCTAGCTGTACACAATCAGCTTTCAATTATTTGGGATGAGAGATGATGTGATTCGGATAAAAGAGAAACAACATAAAATACACATTAAGTTAGGCTGTAAGAATACAATCCTTTTGCTATCCTCACATTTGACAAATGACAATAAGACAGACTGCGAGGCTTTAAATATAAAGAAATAAGTTAAGTCAGTGATTCATCACAAGCTTGAAAGCAAGGAATAAGTCCTGTTACTCACGTTACCATCAGCAGAGTCAGTTTAGGGGACAGAAAGAATTAGAGCAGCACTAGCTATGCCCCAGTTCCTCTAGTATTTACCTTAAATTTGTATGGCCTCAGTCCAACGTCAGAGGGCTTCTCCATAAAGAATGATTTTGTCCTGATAGTGTTAGCTCTGTGTCCATTACACTCTCAACCTTTTCACCATCTTATTATTTTAAAGCCTGTTTTTCTCATTGTTCAGAGTATTTTTCATTTCAAAAATCAGGAATGAGAATGCAGATTCTCCTGCCTGTAAGCCAGCCAGACCTATGGGGGGGTGGGGGCAGGGAAAAAGAGCTACTCCCTTCTTCAAAACAAGCATCTCTGTGGAGGGCACACTGGTGCTGACGGCTCTGTCCATGCAGGCTGTGCTCTGCTCTCCTACAGGAGTGCCCGTGGATGCTCCCCAGCTGACAGCAAGCTTAGGCAGGCAGGTGGACCACCCATGTCCTCAAAAAGCAAGCTAAGCCTCCAGCTTTGCAGCCTGAAAAGCAGGAGCAAGCCCTCAGTGAAGGCGCAGGCTCAGGCCTGGATGACAAAAGCCAACAGAGTCAAGATGAAACACATTTACCAGGAATGTCACCAAGTCCAAATGTCCATGCCCAGAAGGACCTGCCCAGACACCTGTAGCTGCCTCAGACACACAAAGCCATGCAAGATGAAGGCTATCACCTGGCCTGGTCCTCACAGGGGGCCTGATGAGGCTCTGCAGCTCACCTTCACACCAATCTCCATAACTTGTGGAGCTCCCACAGCTTCCTCCTGAAAGGTCCATGCAAGCCCAAATGTTAATCCTACATGTTAAGTTCACTTCCATACTTCACCTGTCTGCACATCAGGTCTCCAGCCTCCCTCTAGAGCAAGCAGAGAGAGAAGATCACCTCTAGGAACAAGTGACCCTCTGGAAGCATTTATTGTCTTGCTGTTGACTGCAGAGAACATCTGGACTCCTGACTCGTAGATGGCCAGGGAGAGTTAATGAAACTCCAAGGTGTGATTCAGGGGCAAGAGGAGAAGGAGATATCACCACTCTGAATTCCCAAACATCAGATACTGTAAAGTTGAGGGGGAAGAAGGGGAAACAAATAGCAAAAAAAACCCAAAACTAACCCCACAACACACCACCTTCCAGGACAAGCAAATTAAGAAAATAAAAAACAATCTATTCCCCAGCAACGCACCAAATATGCAAACAATCTGTGCCAGAGAAGTTTTGTACATGTTTGCATGGATGGTTCTGGCTTGGCTCTGTATGAACAACAGCAACAGAAGCACGCCAGCCTGCCTTAGAGCAGACCAGGCCATAAAGCCAACAGGGCTGAAACCAAGCCAGGGACTGACCTCGTCTATGCACACACTTAGAAACAAGGGGCAGCTTCTGTGGCAACATGTGTTTAAAATCATGTCCTTGGTACGTGCACGTATGCCAGCAATGGAATGAGAGAACAGCACACTCATCCAAAGTAAAATCTGCTCCAGGCTAAAGCACAGAGGGCTATTCTTGAGGCTTCCCCTCTCCAAAGCAAACAGGAGCATTCCTTATTTTCCCCTGTTTATTTAAAAAGCCCACCACACATTCCTGGGCACTGGCCTATCCCGAGCCAACCATGGGATGAGAGCTTCTATGCTGTAAATCCCAGGAAGAAACTGGTCTAACTTGGGAACGGCCTAACAATTGCTACCTTCTGATGGTCGCTTAGTGGTCTGCAAAGTGCACCACAAATCTCAAGAGACTTGTTTTCACATCATTAAAGCCACCCTCAGAATTGGCCTCCACACTGACGGTTTCAGCATAAAAACCAAAGGGCTGTCCAGAGAGCTGCCGCAGGAGCACGTCAGAGGCGTGCGGCCACACCGAGCAGGTCCATCCGAGCAATACCTGCTCAGAGAACAGGAACTCCCAGGCTGCGGCACTTCTCCCCAGACACACCTCGCCTGCTTAAATCTTTGTTCCCACAGGGTACGAAAACACTGTTGTGGCAACCGTCAGTCGACGGTCGACTCATGGAGAAGGGGGGCACCACCATTACACCTCAGGGCTGCAGCAAAGCCATTTTAAAGCTCCTACAGAAAGAAGATTAGAGAAATGGAAGCCGCAGCACGAGCAAGTCTGCATCCAGGCAGCACCAGGGAAGAAGTCTGTTTTTACCTCTGAAGTCTGGTCACCATAAGGCATTGCAATCCAGTCACTTTTTAACTTTACCAGGAAGGAGCCCTGCAACACCATGTAAGCCTTTAAACATGGAGCACAGCAGTATTTGAGAGCAGAGTGTTCGTTTGTCCATCATGAATGACGGCAAGGAAGTTTTCTGTGTGGGATAGGGCAATTGGACATGGCATTTTAGGGATCGCATGACAAATTTCTAAATTAGAAATCAAGCACTTAGGTATAGCTTTCCCAATCGTATTTTCTTCTCCAGGCAGACAGAGAAGAAAACAACCAACCCTTTATCTCCGCAGCAGTGAACTTTCAGTCTCCCATACATGTGTGAAAGAATTGCTTGGGAAACAAGCACGCAACAATGTTGTAGTCAGAGTTTAAAACCAAAATCCACTTCAACCAGAAAGCTGCAGGTTGCTTTTGCCCTTTTCACGAAGGAGCTAAATTCAGTGGCACACAGTAGACAGAGCTGCCCAGCAGAGCCTCCCCCTTATTTGTTATTTTTAGCAATTTAGTCTGACAACGCCTGACAACTAAACATGCTGAATATAGCAGGAGAGAAGGGGACTATCAGATATTATCAGAGAAAACATACAGCAATAATCACTTTCTCCACCCCTAAAGAAGAATCAATTTTCCATGTCTTTATAACATCATAGAGTTTGTTCTTTTTAAAATGCCACATTTAAAAACAGAATCCATCTAGCCCTACAATGGAAACGGATAACATTTCCTGAAACAAAGTATTGTTCCACCCCTCACATATCATGTTTCCTTAAAAACAAGGGAAGAAAAACATTACTTGGTTTTTCTCCTAATACTGCACAAACATTGCTGAGCTAAAAAGAGTCTGTGCTCATCCCTTTAGAATGCTTTCAAAATAGATTTAACACATACCCCTCGTACTGTGAAACACAACAAGAATTTGATAGTATCAGGACTGGAAAAATCCAATCGCTACTGCTAAGTAGGACGCTTCCCATGCCAGTATGTGAGTGAGCCTATGCCATCAATCTCTGCAAGATTCAAGCAGGTTTTTGTAAGCCTCACTGGCACAGCTTTTAAGCAGGCATGTGTATTTTGCCAGCGAGCCTGGGCAGTATTTTTGGATTCCAAAGGATTATAAACAAGTTGTGAAGTTAAGAATGCTACATACGTACTTATTCACGTTCATACCTTAGCTTTAACAAGAAGAGTAAAGCTACCTTGCTTTTTCTGCAGCGTAACTGACAGGCCCCCTCCTACACATCCATACCCCTTCGGTGTTTTCAGAACACAGTTCCTCTCACTAAGTACATCCAATGCATATTCCAGCCAAGTCTTATTTTCACAGCCCTATACAAAGACAGGTCTGGTTCTCCTTGCTGCTTTGCCATGCGATTAGCAGCAGGGAGGACCAAAGTAGCAGTATCACATCAATTTTGTGATGCTGCCTTGAAAAAGGCAATGCACTGCTTCAACAGCGGAGGAACCCAAGAGAAGGGAGTGAGGGAAAGGGAATAACTGCAATCATGCATTGCAGTGAGGACTATCAGAGGAGAGAGAAAAGAAGCTTTGAAACCAGACGCAAAACCCCTCACTGTTTTCCAAATTCACTCTGACAGCTGTGAATGTCAGGAAACTCAGCTCACATTTCTGCAGGTTAAAGACCACATTTTCACGAATAGTCAGCACTCGGGAGCTCCCGTTGCTACACAGCTGGATGGATTTACAGAAGAGCTCGGCAGTGAACCCAGCCCTCTGTGCTGTGCTCCTCTGCAAACAGCACCAAGCTGGCAGTGAGAGCATTTCTCAAATTCAGGCTCGTATCAAAAATACACATTTCACAATATCTTGGCAATAGGAGTCGTAATAGCAAAGCATAACTGTCTCAAGGTCACGATACATGAATAACCAGATCAGCCATACTGTATGGATACTGGGGGATTACTCTGACCAGCTTGATTCAACTATGCAAAGTGAGAAATGTGAGTAAGTAATAAGGTAGTTAACAATGTAAAATATAAACCTAAGCTTTAAAATCCTTTCAGTTTTAATAACAGATGGAGGGAAGTTTTAACCTAGCTTGGTTTGATATTTATTTTACAATGATGCAGTGGAAGCCCAAGGTCACAAAGTTTCACATTCTTTCCTGCTTCTGTCACAGCTCGTTTTCAGGACAGCAAAATCCCCTACTCCTGTGATAAGTGTTCTCTGACTTGGACTCAGGTATTTCCCCTGAAATCTCAGTTTCCAGCAGTTGTCAGTCTAAGAGCTTGTCCTCTTCCATGGGGAATCCCAAGCCTAAGGAAAATCCTTTTCACAAAACTGCAGCCAGCTGGAAGCAGAGTAGTTAAAAGATGGACTTGAGTGTTCACTTAAAACAAACTGTTGGAAGTTTTGGCAATCTGAGCCCTACTATCCATGGTTAAAAAGAAAAACCAACCCATGTGGCAACCCCCATTCCACTCCCACCACCTTTTGAGGCAGTCACTATTGCTGGGAACTTCAATTTAGTGGCCATAACCAGAGACTCAAGCAACAGGGAGCTAGGAAGCAGAAAAACACATTTGCGAAGCAGACAGCTCTGAGGCTTTGTGTAAGAATGGCAAAGGTTATAATTTGGGGGAATTCCATCCATTCTGCTGAACTCAGCAATAAGAAAGTTCAGGAGGTAAGATCATTCCCCACCACGAACAGGAAGAAACTGAGATGCACAGCTGAAGAGCACAGTAGCCAAAAAGCTGACCACAGCCCGATGGACCTGGCAGTAAGGGACCCGACGGGCAGTTTGTAAACAGAGGCTGTCAACCACACTCCAATCACTTCCAAATCCAGACGTGCTGCTATGAAGTTCTCCAACCCCAGTCGCAGGGCTGTCTTTGCGCAAAGCCACTGACATCTGGGATGTCTCCAGAGTAGCCAGGATACAATCCCTTTTAGCACATAACTGTAAAAATGACTGTGCCTTGTTTGCATTAACACCACCTTAAATATATAGCCTATCCATGGAGCACTTGTTTTCCCTGTGCAGAAAAAGTTCTCATGGCCAGAAACACAAAACCCCTTAGTATCTGGCACAGAAAACACTCCAGGCGACGCAACATATGGTGAGGTGCTTGCGCTACAGCTCCCCAGGGAAGCTAAGTTTTAAGAAGGAATTAAAAAAAATACAAACTCTACTTCTGCCGTAGTGTAAGTAGGAGACAACGGAGACAGAACTGCACAGGTTTGAGTAGGTTTGAGCACTGACTTCTTATTCCTGCTTCTCCCTACTTAGCTGGTCTCCACATTCACTTTCTCCAAAACACTAACAGATGAGATAAGCAGCTTGACACAACTCAGTCTTTGCTTTCTCTGTCATTTCCCAAAAACCAAGGAACAGGGGTTTATATTAATTATATTATAGGGGCATTAAGAAAAAAATATACTAACGGCCTTGGAAAAGTACATTTTGAATATCTTCTCCGAAGAACTGTAAGCTGTACATGTAGCCACTAGAAGATAGTCAAGATGTCACTTAGAGAACTTGTTTGAACACTGGAACTTGTGGAGACACTACTTTGTATTTCCTAGATATTCTTCTCTGCCTTGAATACTCCAACCAGATAAACATAAGAACACAGAAGTGCTCTGACCACATCATCAAAACAAAGTCCCATCTCCCCCTAGATCCGGTCTTCAACAGCAGCCACAAGTAGATGCCTAGGGCAGAGCGTAAGGACAGGGCAGGCATATACGGTACTTCCTCCTCATACTTTCCCAGCCTCCAAACATTTTTAGCTCAGGGACTTCCTGAGCAGGATGCCATTTCTACATATTTGGTAATTCTCAATGGATTTCTCTTCCATGAATTTGTGCAATTGTCCTGAGCCAGTGTAAACTTTTAATATCCACAGCACTGGCAAAGTTTCACATCACCTATCTGCTGCATATAACCACACAAACATCCTTTTGCTAGTTTTAAGCCTTGCTCCTACTAATCTCATTTGAATCCCTCACCCCCAGTTTTCATATCAGAACACAGAGTGAACAATCAATCCCTATTGGGGTTGTAGATCTAGCAAAGAAACCAAGTGACATGAATTACTTGTAGGTTACTTGTAACAGGCGCTATGTTTCACTCAGTTACAATCCTTCAGAATGAAAAGTACCAGATAAATACAAGGGATGTAGCAAACAGCATCTTGTTGACCTTCAATCTTCTACTTTCATCATCATTACCTGCCAAAAACTTACCTCTAATTCTTTAATTTTCTCTTCGGCTATTCTCTGTTTTTCTAAGAGCTGATTATGAATCACTCCTTTAGACTGAAGAATAAACCTACAAGTGAAAAAGAAGAGACAGGCGACTGTTGGATATTTTTCACATCTGTTGTACACCTAGCTGAATACCAAGTTAAACTCCAGTGAACTCTGCAAAGTATTCATCCTCAACCCGTGCGTTCTGGACAGAGGCCGAAGAAATTGCTATGATAGCTCACACAAACCACTGGGCTGGCCTCAAAGGCTTGCTCACTAATCTCACCCATGATTTGGGAGGGAGAAAATGGATGCACACAGATCTCCCTCTATCACTCAGTGTCCTTGAATGATCTGAAAGCAGTTCTTACACACAGCTAGCAAGGGGAGTCTGTCATCACATTCCCTTCAAAGGGATCTAAATCAGTTGATGGAATATAGTCAAGGAAGCCTCTTTCAACACATAAAAGCCATTCATGGGCAGCTTAACGTTTGCAAGCTAAACAAACCTGGAGAATAAAAACAAAGCTTTCTACAGAGAAAGGCTGAGAGAGTTGGGGGTGTTCAGCCTGGAGAAGAGAAGGCTCCAGGAAGACCTTACTGCGGCCTTTCAATATACAAAAGGGGCTTATAAGAAAGCTGGAGAGGGAATTTTTACCAGGGCCTGTAGTGACGGGACAAGGGGCAAGGGTTTTAAACTGCAAGAGGGTAGGGTTAGATTGGACATAAGGAAGAAATGTTATACGATGAGGGTGGCAAGACACCGAACAGGTCACCCAGAGAAGTGGATGCTCCACCCTTCGAAGTGTTCAAGGTCAGGTTGGACAGGGCTTTGAGCAACCTGACCTAATGGAAGATGTCCCTGCCCGTGGCAGGGGGTTGAACTAGATGGTCTGTGAAGGTCCCTTCCAACCCAAACCCTTCTGTGATTTGATAATACAGAGCCAGATGCTTCCACCAGAAACAGGGTACACCTGCCTTTACTTGAGCTTTCACAGCTCTCACTGCTCAGGGCTTGGCTTTAACACACATGCTCACTGACCTTCGAATTCCCATGCTTTCTACATTCAGACAGTTTTTCTGTGGGGTGGGAAGTGGTCATTTTTAACTGAAATTGCAGCCACTGCTTTCCACTTGTTCTGCTTTTTAATTGCCAAAGGGATTTGAAAGATGCATCCATAACATCTCAGTCACAGCAACCCTGCTTGCCAGCATGCAAAAAGCTGCCTGACTTGCTCAGAAGAGCCTCTGAAGGAGTACCAGCATCCAAAGCAGCTCTCCAGCACGTGGCACTGGCATCCCACAAAGAGATAAAGGACAACTAAGTTCAAATGAATTTTAGGAACTCTCCATGGTTGTTTTTCATCCTTCCAGACATGAAGAATGTACAAGCCGCAGATTCGCCCCTCCCTACTTAGAAAGTCCCCCAGGGGATTTAGAAGGAGACTCCACGGGTCATACCAACGAGGTCAAGGTCTCCCTCCAGCACCAACTAGGGTCAGTGTCTTCCTGCCAGGTGACAAGAGCTCATGCTTGAACAGTTAAAATGAGCAGCTTTAGACAGGGCAGAATCAGAGTGCATTCCCCGTCTGCTATAGAAAAATCTGAAATCAGTTTGTAGTGCCATCTCCCACGACAAATGACATTATTAACGTGTTTGCTCAGGGCCTGGTAAACACAAATGCGGATCTGCCGCTTGGCTTGAAACGCAGCATATTCTGCATCAGCAGTGCAACAGCCAAAAGGAAAACAACCTGCCACATGCATTCCTGAAATGCATGGGAGCAGAACTGCAGTTAATTATAACAGGTTTCCAATTAAAACTCTCTTTGGTACTGCTATTAACTGCACTTAGCAATTGTTTCCTCCTCCTTCTCCCACTTCTCTCCCTTGTTCTGCTTCACCTCTTCTTTTCTACAGTAACTTCCACTATATCTTTTATGTTGCAATTTTCTCAAATCTCTCCTTGTTTCTTCCCAGTCTCAGCTCATGCTTATTACTGGTGTCATCTTTGTTCTATATCTGCTCCTGTTCTTTACAACACAGCTCACTCATACTCTCTTTGTCCCCTCAATCCCCCTCTTTCCATTAGGTGCCCCCACAATCCACTTTCACACAGTGGTAATGGCACACACCAGCCTGCTGAAATAAAATGCGAGTTTTGCTCAGTCTTGTGAAAATCAAGTCCGTGACCACCCTTCTAGGAAAGAGAAGTTATTTACATTGCTATAAGATGCAGAGCCTGGATCCAGCCAGAGATGAGCTACTTTTCAGGACCACCAGCAACCACATCATTCTGACGCTCTTACCTTGAGCCTGCAATACCAGAAGAAACAAACACACACCCCCTGTAGATTTTGGGGTGAAGACTAAAATTTTGCCTTGCTTCTGCAGTAGCTGTCATTAGTGAAAAATCAAAGCTGCAATATGCCCTCAGTAAACAAAGCCATCAATCCTTTCCCACACCACAGCTTTCCTGAGCCTCTGTGTGTATAAGAATGTTTCCTTAATTATTTCCTTTTTTTGTGGGGGGAGCAAAGAAGAACAGAATACCTTCTCATTTGCTTCCCCAAATTACATAGCAAGATCGATCATTTTGGTTTCACTGATGCCCCTGGTCTAAGAAACAAAGTTAAACACCAACACAGCTTGATCAATTTTCCCCATGCTACAGCTGGGAAGGTCCCTACTGGGCTACAGGTGCTGAGCGATCCCAGCTGGCTGAGAACCGCTACGGGCACTAAAACCTTTGAACAAACAAGCAGCTGACTTCACTTTTATTCTGCAAATGTCAACAGCAGTCATCGGGGAAAATATCCTCCCTCCCACCCTTCTGCAATGCTCTGGCAGACATGCGACAGCAAATTAAAATTGGATGGCCGAAGTTAGCACTGACGAGACTTATGCAGGCAGCTGGGCACAAATACAACCACCCTAATTTTATTTGCCGTAAAATAGTGGGCTGGAACCTGTGTCCGTTCACACGCTGGCTCAGAAGCAGATCAAATGTCCCTGACTTCGCCAGCAGCATCCTTCAGAAGGTCTTCACCAGTACCGGCTTCAAGCCACCCATTTTAATTCCCTGCCGCAAGACCATCGAGCTCTCAGCCTAAAGCGCACAGGTGCTGCCGTGTAAGCTGTCAAAGGCCAGTTTTTTGAAAGTTGAAGCTATAAATCCACATCCACAGTTAAGTATTTAAATCTGTGGCTTCACTTTCCAACATAAGGAGGACTCAAAAAACTCATCAGTGTTTTAGCTTCTAGCTTGGGATACACACGTTATGGAGATCTTGGCCAAAGTTTTTATCCAAGGAAATAATGTGGTTTATGGCAGCATTTGGAAAAAGCAGAAGCTTGTTCTGCTCATTAGGTAAGAGGTGCTGCAGGGCACTTGCAATAAACCAGACTTTAAATTTAATCTGGATTTCATTCTTCCAACTACCCTAAGTAAAACACCAACTTGATGATTTTTTTTTTTTCTCACCAAGCTGGAGAAATACTGCAGTGTCATTCTGCTGCCTGGTTTTAGTTAAATATGGTTATTTTATTTATGAATTTTTAAGCTCATGAAAGAACCAGGGGAGGTTCTGAGGACTTAGTTCTCCCCTGAGTGAGTTTGTGAACAAGCCTTTCAAACACATGAACTGCCTGGAGGTACACCACCAGCTGAGAACAGGCCCCTCGTTAGAGTCACCGCATCACAGAGCTGAGGAGCCACTTTCTGCTCTGTGACGCTGAGCTTGGCAGATGACATGACTAACACTAGCCCCTTGGTGCAGATCAGCACCCAAGAGCTACCTCCACAAACCGTTGTGCCCGAGTCCACCATAGGAGGCTCCAAGCTCCGAGAGTTTGTACGTTGAACTGGGATGGCTTTTAAGTATTGACAGTCCGCAGAAGACAAGCGGCAAACCAAACCCTCTTCCAGATAAGCGAGTTCACTCGTGTCCGCTTTCTCTCAGCGAAGCATCACAGCACACACTAATAGATCTGTCAAACACTAACAGATCTGTCAAACATGACACCTACACTATCAAACATGAAACAATGATTCAGAAAAGTGTTCAGCACCACAGTGGCAATTACAAAGCTTAGTAACAATCACCTCTTCAGACAGGAACTTTTTCACTGTTGTTAAATAACACCAGAAATATCTGGGTCAGAACGGACAAGTTCACCATGTCTCAGTTGGCCACCCAATTCAAAGGGAATGGCTAGTAAAAACGGAGCAGGATTTGCCCTATTCCGGATACTTAGCAATTTTTCCGATGTCCATAGATAAAGGTAAGAACTCAAAACAAAACAAAGAAAATTAGAAGAGAAAGCTACAGAGGAGTGGGGTCCTCAAGGACAGCAATGTTCATCCAAACAATGGGCTGCCAACAAGAGCAGCTTTATAATAGAGTGAAGTGTTTGCGAATCGGCAGTACCTACGTGCTCCGGTCTCCCGGTGACTGCTGGTTCTCAAGTGCAATACGAGGAACAAAAAAAGAGCACAAGGGAACTGAAAGAGAAACCTCACTCTAAATATTCCCACTTGTTTCTATTTTCCTCCCTCTGCTAGCTCCACATCGGGATTTCTTTTCCCTAAGGCAGAGAAAGGGGTTTATGTACTCTCGGTGAGACTCATTGCTTGTCTCCTTCTGAAGGGATCTCTTACCCCTTCCCAATTATAAATTTCTAGATACAGTGCCCATTTGTTTAGTGTTTATACAGCACTCCCTTATGCCCTGGTCAAAACGGTCTTCAGGCTCTAGTCAGGCTGGTGAGCAATGTTGTCAACTTCACCATCTGTCTGCCCCTTTGTGTCACACGTACACACCCACAAAGTGATGTTCATACAGTGTAAGTAATTCCATAACTCAGTCTGTTTGCACCAAAATGTACTGTTTACTTGACTTTAAGACATAATATTAGATACTGAAAGATTTGTCTCTTAAGGAATGAGGTTATGGAGATGTTTGTTCAGCACACACCACTCTTCATTATGACATACAAGTCATTAAAGTTATTAAAGGTGGAGTATCAGTGATACTCATAGTTAAGGTTTTCCATTAAGAACCCCTATTTTCAATTACTTGCAACTGCAACCAACTTCAACCTTTATGTCTGAAGCTTTCGGTGGCAGGCATCTGTCCCAGACACGAGCACTCTCTCCGCTTCCCATTCTGGTTAGGGAACATGGTTCAGGTGTTTCTCCCGCACGGCTTGGCGGTGCAAGAGGCTGTCCGTATTCAAGCATTAAAACCAAGAGAGAAGGAGCCACACAGCAGGCCGCGGGGCTCCCTCCCGCCAGTCTGCAAAGCAACTCTTCCCACCTGGGTCCATGCAGATCACTGCAAGAACCTGCGCAGGGTACCCGGGGAAGCCTTAGCTTTTCCTCTGCCCGATACTGATACGCATCCCTCTGCCTAATTTCAGAGAGAAATTTTACAGGTGGGAATGCTCCAATGCTATTTTGCCAGAATAATGATGAATGACAGATCTAAAAGCCCATGCAGCCTGGCTCCCAGCTCACACAAAAGGTCATTGTAACTTCAGCTTTATGGTTGCCATTGCATTTGGGAAACCCTCTACAAAAACTTCAGGTAAGATACTGAAAAGAAAACGGACAATTTTGTACAAAGCCACAACATTAATTTAATACGTTTACTGTATTTCTAAAAAAACTAACATGCTGTGCTATAACACATCACAGTCATTTACACAGAATATCCTGCTCCTTGAAACCAAGCGTTTTCATTAGACTACTCCATGAGAAAAGTTGGGCTAAGCCCAGTCATGCCCTTATCTATTTAAAGACGCTTTTTAATTCTGAATTTGCACTGCTGTTCAAGCTTTGAACATACTCAGTAGGGGATTACTGCATTTTAAGTACTGTTCAAAGCCAATGGAAGAGAGGCTTCCAACGAGCTGATCCCAAGCAATCTAGCTTGATTGAACAGGAGCCGGCTGTGCACAACTGCAAGCACCCAGTAGTCCCCTTCCACTCTCCTAGGGTCTGCTTATGCTTCTGTAAATGATTCCCTATGCAGTTCATAACAGGCACTGCTTAT